TCTAAGGGGACCACAGTGTTTGAATGTTTAGAGTCGTCACATCTTCAGCTTCGAGAAGCTAGATATCGCTAGTGTAGAGTATAACACATAGTGCAAAAATGTGTTGTACTCCTGACTTTTTAGGTGCAGAAAAACGATGCAGCGTTGCTAGACTAGCATATGCAACCATAGTTTTGTTATGTAGTGAGAAGCTTTTCCTATTATACGTTCATCAGTAATCATACATCTCAACACGAATGATCAGCTTTTGGGTTTTTCAAAATGGGGTGATGTTATAGTGAGAAAACTAGCAGAACTGCCCAGTTTGTCATAATATATGTGCTGTTACTGTGGGATGAAAACATTTAGTTGCAAATTTTAGGAAGTTGTGTGATTCCAAGAAAGTTGTAGTCGTTTTACAGTTATACCTAGTGTGTATATCCAACAATTAGATGTTGTCATACGTATCGTAAGTGGATAACCGCTTTGTGTTTTAGTGTTCTGTTTTTAATTTGCTGCCCTTTAGGCTTTCTTTACCTATGAAGTTTATTATTATTGACCCCCAACCAACTAACTTCCATAAGAGTGCACCACGATGGCACACTTCCTAGCTTGATGGTCACAGTGCAAAACGGTCCATAGAATTTCGGTCAACACTCGGGACTAGGCAGCATGAAATTGGTTGCTCTTCAGTGGTTGATCAGTGTAAAATGCACGGGATTAACTGAAAGTCGGATTTTTTCTCTCAACTATCCTAAACCAATTTATTTTTGAATTACTTAAAATCTGTAATTATTGTTTCTCAACCCCTCACTAATTGATTGGTCTTTTGATTGAATTGTAAACCTATGTATTATTGTAAAGCCAAGGACGAAGTCCTAATCAAAAAGGAATATATTTCTTCTCTTTGTCAGTATTTTTGAAAGGTTGACATTAGTAGTATTTGAACTTAAAAAAATTTCATTTATTATAATTAGAAAGTTCGTTTATCTGCTAGCCATGTGTCAATGGCGTATTGAAGCAAGCAATCTCTTTTTGTATTACTGAAGTCAAACTGCGGTATGTGTGTCCTAACCGTGGGCGCATCGCCATGCACATACGGTCGCAAAAGGATTAGTGATCAGACATAGGTGGATTAAGAAGCTTAATCTCTACTAACTGTACCGCTAATCTGCAAGGGTTATAATCTTTTGAAGAGCAGCATTTTTATCCTTCTATTTTGCTTCATGGATATGCAAGGTGCAAGTTAGTATAAACATGTTGGATTTAGCCTCAGGCAGTACTTTTAACTATAACTTTTCGGCCTATTCTAAATAATATCATGTTTGTCAGTTGCTTGAGGTCGAGGAAGGAAACCGTACCAGGTAGGTGAACATGTACAGTGTGGAGATATAGAATGATTGGACACCGACTCTAGTGAACATACTTTAAATCAGCATAGCCAAAAGAAATCAGCTGATGAAATGTAAATATTGATATCGTTGGGAGTACAAACTGTTAGGCAAAAATTAGCACTTTCGAAGGGAATAAAAAATATGAAACAGAAATACTTTAGTTACGTGTGAAATTATCAAAGTATATATAGCGAATTTCGAACCATATATCTTGCTTACGATAGTATACTTTCTTCTCATATCTAAATGTTAAGTCCTAGTTTCCACTTCACTACAGGCACTTATCATTCAACTATGGACATTCTTTTCTGTTATTTAGTATAGTTTAGCACTGCCGGTATCCGGCAGTAAGACGTTCTGGTATAACTGACATTTTTAGTCATTATTCCCTCCAATTAGTATGTGAAATACGAAATTTTGAGCCTGATTTTAATTGTTTTTCTCAGTCTTTGTAACTCTTTTAATTTAGAGTACCACTTTAGGCAAACATGGGGACACGTGAGATACTGTCAGTGTCAGTTTAAAGAGTACACTTGCATAACTTCGTCAAAAAGTTAAACTGACGTATTTTACTGGTCTAGTTAAGATAAATTTGTTTAACCAGTTTTCATTTTGAGATGTTACATTACCAGGAAGTTTGATTTTTGTTTATTTTGTATTTTGTTTTAATATAGGTTGATGGTTCAGAAAGTACACTTCTACGTGATCGCGTTTACGAAGATTTTTCAATTTCCTCGGCTAAGTTTACAGCTCATGGTGATAAGGTTATTTTCACTGGGAATGTTGGCTCTTTCCGAGTAAGTGAAATTGCTCGTGTAATGTTTTAGATCAATGGCAATTTTTCCGTTTAAAGTTTTCTTCATGTAGAAATTGCATACTGAAGCATTTTGTTAGCTATAACTTTCCTTATTTCTAATACAGGGATAATTTATCATGAGGTGCGTATAATCCTTTCTTTTTCTGTGTAAATTAAGGCCGTTTGATTTAAACTACTTAAACTTTAGTAAGTAAAACAATGATTTCCGTTGCATCAGTTCGTTTTTCTCACCCTGAGTGGATTTAGTAGGTGGGTTTGGTAACTGTAAATATTTCGCTGCATATCATTAATCTAGTGTTGTGCACCTCATTGACGATGTTCCATTGGCGCTGTTATGTTTCGATTAGTGTTGGGTAACATTTGAAGTAGTTTTTTTAGAATGCAAGGATGCAGTAGTTAGAGAGCAATTGAAGAGGAGATTCCTCAGGTTATGATAAAAAGCGATTGTTTTATGTAATCAGCCAAGTTATTATAACATTGGAGGATGATCTTAGTGTACCATGAATCCACCCAATCTGAGAATGATTACTGAATCTAAACTCACTGGCTGAGACTTTGCATTTCTTGTGGTTTCGGTGTCGTGATGAATTGAGGTTGTACACTTTAAGGAAGCCCCTAGATTAGGGGGTAGGGATGATAAGTATCGAATGCTTCTCCGTTCTCGTCAACTACTCAGTTAATACCTGCTCATAATGAAGGCAACCTTTGACTTGATTGCATAAGGAAAATCAAGTACTGAAATTGAAAACTTCATCAAATGAAAAAATTGAAACAATTAGTCCCTTTAATAAATTTCGATAACGTTATAAGAAGACGAAGATTATCTGAAAAATGTGATGTATTTGAGCAATACATTTTGAACAATCTGATCACACATTTACCTGTCAAGTCAATTTATATATGAAAATTAAAGGTCAAATATAGTGAAAATGAAAAGGTTGTGACACTAGTCTTGGTAATATTATCAGATAAGGATTACCAAGGTAAATTAAGTGAGTGAAACAATAAATTGTTTTTCTACACACAGCGGGGGATTAAGTTTACGAATGGCTAACGCTTCAGCAAACTTCAGTATGCGCCTCTGATTATTCCTGTATAATATCTTAAACGCTGTTTTCGTATTAACCTTGTGATTTATTTCAATGATATGTTTTGCTATAGATGACGATGGATGGATGTCACCTGCACTTATCAAAGTTTGTGTGTTAAACTGTTTTTCTAGCCATTTGGGTATGTGTTCACCCACCCTAGTCTGCATTGAACGATTACTCCTCCCTATGTATGTGTGCCCACACATACATGTAAATTGGTAAACACAGTGGGATGTGACGTAATCATTTGTGCGAGGTTGAGGTTTGTGGTGAAGCAGGTGTTTTGTCGTCTCAACAATGATAAGCTGAGCTGCATAGTATGTTTTACTGATAACAGATTTTAATCTCTGCTTCAATATAATACTACTTGTTTCCCCTCTGTATGATACTTTAAGAAATATGCTTTTCTTCGGGACCGAGGAAACTGTAGGCTTTGGGGTCAGCTGTTTTTTACAATGGTTAACAAACTGTAATGGATAACCGTTTTCCATTAGAGTGTCTGTCAGAAACTTATTCTCATCATCCATCGTATTAGGTGTACAAATACGTTGGATTCTATTGAACAAGCATCTTACCAAGCCTCTCTTATATTTCATCGGACAAAAACTATGGAAATTCAAATACTATCCTGTCCAAGTAGGCTTCCTGTGTATTGATCGTCTAATCGACCCATCTTCCCTCCGGCACAAGAGTATATCAAGAAATGCAAGTTGATGGTCTTTTTCTTCCTCACATATCAGACTGATATGATCTTGTACGGTATTAAGCCATTTTAACAACCTCTTGGCATCCTCATCTGTGTCACATATTACAAAGATATCATCCACATACCTTCTATAGAGTGTGACATTGGTGATTAAATCTTGAGCCATTAGTTCAGTATGTGACATATATACATCAGCTAATAACAGTCCTAATGGACTCCCCATGGCTACACCATCAATTTGCAGAAAGTGTTCACCTTCGAAAGTGAAATGAACCTTATCAGTACATACTAAAAGGAGTTCTTTCAAATAAATTGAAGGAATAGGGAAAGAAGGATAATTCGAAGGTATGTAGTCGCAAAGAATATTCATTGTCTTCGTTAGAGGCACATTTGTAAACAGAGAGTTAACATCAAAAGAATACATTTTCTTATATTTAATATTCAAATCAGTAAGATAATCAACAAGTTCAAACGTATCTTTCAGTGAATACTTACATAAATCATTACAAGTCGGGCTCAGTAATTCGGCTAACCATCTCGCCAATTTGTGTGTGGGAGACTGACACATTGACAATATTGGACGTAGTGGATTATCAATTTTGTGAATTTTTGGAAGTCCATATGGATTTGGAAAATTAGATCCCACGGGTTTCAAGGAATTAAACTCCGCTTTAGCAATAACATCCATGTTAAGGAGTCCAACTAGACTAGTTGTTACTTTTCTTCTTGGGAGATGTTCCGCCAGAGGATATAAGAAAATTAGAAAGAAAAGTAACAACTAGTCTAGTAAAACTCCTTAACATGGATGTTATTGCTAAAGCGGAGTTTAATTCCTTGAAACCCGTGGGATCTAATTTTCCAAATCCATATGGACTTCCAAAAATTCACAAAATTGATAATCCACTACGTCCAATATTGCCAATGTGTCAGTCTCCCACACACAAATTGGCGAGATGGTTAGCCGAATTACTGAGCCCGAATCCTTAATGATTTATGTAAGTATTCACTGAAAGATACGTTTGAACTTGTTGATTATCTTACTGATTTGGATATTAAAAATAAGAAAATGTATTCTTTTGATGTTAACTCTCTGTTTACAAATGTGCCTCTAACGAAGACAATGAATATTCTTTGCGACTACATACCTTCGAATTATCCTTCTTTCCCTATTCCTTCAATTTATTTGAAAGAACTCCTTTTAGTATGTACTGATAAGGTTCATTTCACTTTCGAAGGTGAACACTTTCTGCAAATTGATGGTGTAGCCATGGGGAGTCCATTAGGACTGTTATTAGCTGATGTATATATGTCACATACTGAACTAATGGCTCAAGATTTAATCACCAATGTCACACTCTATAGAAGGTATGTGGATGATATCTTTGTAATATGTGACACAGATGAGGATGCCAAGAGGTTGTTAAAATGGCTTAATACCGTACAAGATCATATCAGTCTGATATGTGAGGAAGAAAAAGACCATCAACTTGCATTTCTTGATATACTCTTGTGCCGGAGGGAAGATGGGTCGATTAGACGATCAATACACAGGAAGCCTACTTGGACAGGATAGTATTTGAATTTCCATAGTTTTTGTCCGATGAAATATAAGAGAGGCTTGGTAAGATGCTTGTTCAATAGAATCCAACGTATTTGTACACCTAATACGATGGATGATGAGAATAAGTTTCTGACAGACACTCTAATGGAAAACGGTTATCCATTACAGTTTGTTAACCATTGTAAAAAACAGCTGACCCCAAAGCCTACAGTTTCCTCGGTCCCGAAGAAAAGCATATTTCTTAAAGTATCATACAGAGGGGAAACAAGTAGTATTATATTGAAGCAGAGATTAAAATCTGTTATCAGTAAAACATACTATGCAGCTCAGCTTATCATTGTTGAGACGACAAAACACCTGCTTCACCACAAACCTCAACCTCGCACAAATGATTACGTCACATCCCACTGTGTTTACCAATTTACATGTATGTGTGGGCACACATACATAGGGAGGAGTAATCGTTCAATGCAGACTAGGGTGGGTGAACACATACCCAAATGGCTAGAAAAACAGTTTAACACACAAACTTTGATAAGTGCAGGTGACATCCATCCATCGTCATCTATAGCAAAACATATCATTGAAATAAATCACAAGGTTAATACGAAAACAGCGTTTAAGATATTATACAGGAATAATCAGAGGCGCATACTGAAGTTTGCTGAAGCGTTAGCCATTCGTAAACTTAATCCCCCGCTGTGTGTAGAAAAACAATTTATTGTTTCACTCACTTAATTTACCTTGGTAATCCTTATCTGATAATATTACCAAGACTAGTGTCACAACCTTTTCATTTTCACTATATTTGACCTTTAATTTTCATATATAAATTGACTTGACAGGTAAATGTGTGATCAGATTGTTCAAAATGTATTGCTCAAATACATCACATTTTTCAGATAATCTTCGTCTTCTAATAACGTTATGGAAATTTAAGTGAAAACTGATTGCTATTATAACTGAGACTTTTGGAAATTGGAAATGGCTGTCAAACAGATACTTGTTTTCATTAACCAAAGGAGTAAACTCTAGTATGACTTAGTCTTAAGTGAGTAAAAGACAAAGCTCGCTGTTCAACGGATTGAAATGTAAAATATAAGTATCACTTATTACATAAGAAAATAAATCTCATGGAAAGGAATTGTGATTAATGAATCATTTTTACCAATTATTAGGCACGGTTTTGTCAACTGATGACTCTCAATCGGTTTTGAAACTTCGATATATGCCTTATTTATGCTTCAATTGGGGTCTACTTACTATCAAAATTAGTCACTCTCACATGTTGTCCAAGAATTTCAGGGGGGTATAGTTCTCCAACCGATTGTTAGCTAATAATTAGGCTTCATATCTAGTTGTACAGAATGGTTTCAAACTGTACGGATCATATTGTTATATACTATAAGGTGGTACTGCTTCAATCACTGATCTTTTTTTTTTCCTAAGTCTTTTTATGTAAAGTGTACGAAAAGCTTGCAGTCACTTGAGATGGTTAATGTTATCTGATAAGTTATTTGTTTAGTTTTACTGATTTAAAAGGAAATATTTCTGATGAGTATGTATCATTATTAGTGTTGTAGGTTTTTATTCCATACCTGGAAGGTGAATAGTGATTTCAGCCTTACGGTGAATCACACTTATTTACTCAATGGCAGTACTACTTCAGATAAATATATTCATTCTGCATAGTTAACTAGTCTTGGTTAATAGATTTCAGGGTAGTAGTAGTTTGTAGTAAAATGATTTTCTCTTGATATTTTTCTGTTTATTTCTCTGTCATTTATTCATCTGATAGATTTACAATTTAGAAACTGGTAGTGAAAGTCGCGCAAGAAGGTTTATTGGTGCACCCTTTGGTGAAATCATCAATAAGTGTTCCATTTCATCTGCTCATCCAAATTTGGCTGCTCTTGGCACGAATGGGAGCACAGTATACCTAGTTGATTTACGGGTAAGTTCATGAATAAAATGTATAGACGCATAGTCCTACATACTTGCCCGTGTCTATCTTATCCACCTAATCTAGAATATAGATTTATTGTGTTTGGATCATTTTATGGTTATAATAAGTATTATCTAAGTAGTTGATCGACAAGAAGAATCAATTGCAGTGTTTGTTGTTTACCAGGGTTATACTTTTTAAGGAGAATAAGTAGGTGAAACACTGGATTAATATAGACTCACAAAGACAAAGGAGGACAAACTTTCTAACCTGGTATCGAATGCCCCCAAAATCAACTCTTAAAGTTGTCCAAAGAATCACATGACACTTGTAGGTTTCCTTTGGACTCATATAGAAAAAATATTGATCCACGTTAGAGGTTGGTGGGGGTTTATTTATTGATTTCAGGTTGGTATTCATTATACGTTGTCATCAATTGGAGGAACATTGAGAACCTGGGAGTACTAGATAACTGTCTCGTCATAATATGGGACTCCTCAGCAGTGCGCACCCATGACCCGCCAGGGATCAAATATCAACCTGAAATGAATCAATAAATCCTCACAAACCTCCAAACTGGATTATTCTAGTGTTCATTTGTGACGCCTCGAAAGGTGATTCGCGAAGTTCTAATAAGAAGTCGTGACCAGTGGAGCCAAGTCGGTCATGAGGAAAGTTACTCGACGACGTCATTGAATGAAAGTCATGAAATATGGACCATGAGAGTCTAACCTAGCGAGTCAGTAGTAGCCTACTGGCCACGGAACCTGAAGGTCCTGGGTTCGATCCGTGTCGGGGCGGGGTCATGTGTGCACATTGGTGAGTAGTCCTATACTAAGACGAAACAGCTATCTGGTGCTCCTAGGTTGCCAATGTTCCTTCATTTGATATCAGCCTGTGATGAATAACAACGTGAAATACAAATAATATTGAACTCAGCAAATTCTCATTGTTTTTCTGTGATCTTTGTTACTTTCTTTTTCACATCCAACTTTTCTGACCGAGAGATTGCACTTTTATTGGATCTTAAGTGTCATTAGCAACTTTGCCATGCTCATTGTCATTTATCTTGCTAATTTTTTATCTACAGGAAAGTGTTGATACAGCTATTCCCTTTTTAGACATCGTTTACATGAAATTATCCTAAGAATAATCACTGCATTTCAGTGTTAGTGAAAATTCATTGCGAATTCGGAGCTTGGAGTTTACGGCATTGTAGGATGTTGTCACTCTAATGGGATGAGAACTTTTGCTCTGTTGATATGGATTATAGCAGTGTTTGGTGTGCCTTACTGACATGTACTTTTCGAATGAAACACTTGAGCTACTTATCTCATTGTATCTCATGAAAGATACATTGAATTAAATATTTCGTATTTCACATTCCAGTTCGTCAGAGAATTTAAAAAGTCGTTTGTTAACTGCGAGATGCATCTATTGTTATAAAGAAACAAGGTATTATTAACTACTTTTTCAAGGCTTCAGCTATCCTGTTTATTGCATATTGATGTAAAAGTAGTAACAGTAGTAGTGTTGGGAACGAGAAGATGGAGATGAAGAAAGGAATGTTTATTGTTAACAAGTGGTACAGTAGTTGTTTAATATTGCACTAAGACAATCATTTGCAAAATATGCTTCATTCCCTCTTCTACTTCTCTCTTAATTTGCTCTTAATAAAATCGCATTGTCTCTTGCGTTTCTCTTGGCAGAATCTTTACCCATCGCTGGTAATTCCCTATGATTTCTACCACCGTCTCAACATATACTACTTATATCCATTCTAATCAGCTACGCTTGCTACAGTAGTAGTAGCAGAATGTTTCTTTTTAGAAATTAGCATTCATACATCCGTGATCGTGTGTTTTGAAAGTGTAGGCACTCAGCGTGCATCTATTGTGTTGTGATATAACTCGAAAACCGCTTACAAGTTCATGAACAAGCATGTTAGCCAAACCTCTTATCAGTAAGGTTTAGTACCACTCTGATAGGCAGAGTGGGTATAAGATCTGTGTGATTATCGTTGACAGTCGAGCTACAGCTACATCTCATTACTCCAAATTCTTCATAATTAGCGTAATAATGTTATCAATCCAACTAAAACATAGGATTGACTGACTGACGGCAGCATGTCGCATGTCATGATATCCATCATATTCATGAATATAATGATATGTTACCTTCTTAGGTATAAAGTGAGGCTGAGGAATTTATAAGAAAATGAATAAACTTCAAACTCAATGTTTGGAAATATATATCAAAGTAGTGTATCACTTGTATCTGTTTTGCTGTTTAATTTCACTTGAAAAATATTAAATTTATCTCATTTTGTTTTCCGCTTACTTTTTCTTAGAGTTTAGAAAAGATTTCAGTTATACAAGGAAGCGGTTTGATCAATTCTGTTTGTTTTACTCAGGATGGGACATTTTTAAATACTTATGGTGGTAAGTTAAAAATAAATAAACAAATAATGTAATTTGTTACCTACTTTTTGTATGTGGTAATACAACCAACTTAAACCTTTTTATCGTTCAAATAAGTTTATTAGGGGTCGCAGATACGGTTGAAATGATGACATTATCTAGCTCATCAGAATAGTGTATAACTCAATAGTCTTGAGTTATTTAGGAAAGCATTTAGTTAGAGCCCCAAAAATCGATTTGTATATTTGTAAAATGGGACCAACCCCTTGGATAACTTTACTATCATAGAATACTGATCCCAATATATAGCACTAGTGTGCAAATAAAACCACATTCACACAATGCTTTTATTCAGTCAGGTTACTATTCTACATTATGTGGGAATGTATTATATCACCGAGATTTAGGAATGCAAATGCTTTAGAATTTTATCTTGTTATTGGTGGATTGCTTTCATTGCTCTTTGAATTCTTATTCTTAAGGACAGACTGATTAACACTGAATTGTTCATCATGGTTTTTGTAGGATAACTGAGGCGGTTCACTTCAATACTACATGGAATGAAAGGGTTTTCTTATTCGTGTTATATGTAATTACAGTTGTTCACCATTTCTGCTGAAAGGTAACGAGAAGAACAAGATAAAGGAAGGAATGTTTATTGTTAACAAGTGGTACAGTAGCCGTTTAATATGGTACACCTTGCACTAAGACAATCATTTGCATAATGTGCTTTATTTCCTCTTCTGCTTCTCTCTTGATTTGCTCTTAATAAAATCGCATTGTCTCTTGCGTTTCTCTTGGCAGAATCTTTACCCATCGCTGGTAATTCCCTATGATTTCTACCACCGTCTCAACATATACTACTTATATCCATTCTAATCAACAACGCCCACTGCACTACCAGATAGTTATTACCAAATGGTTTTAAAAGAATAAATCATCATATTGTTAAAAAGATTTTCGCTGTAATTTAGTTTTACAGACACTTAACTTTCATCTTTTGAATTTTCAGTTCAAAGTTATTCGAAGCACATGAAACTAATAGCGGTTATTGAGTGGCATTCATACTTCCAACATATTTATTACTCGGATACCTCAGTTATCGAATCTAATTGGGTTTAAGTTGATATTCATCATGAACTGGCATCATCTAGAGCACCATCGAGAACCTGGAAGCACTAGATATCTGCTTCGTTCTTGTATAAGATTCCTCAGCAATATGCACCCAGAACTTTCAAATTCCTTAGCGAGCACTTTTCCGTTGAGCCACTGAGTTAGGGTTCAACGTTCCGCATTTTCATACTTCTGTCAGTAATAAGATTGGCGCATTTACCGAACACAGGGAAGAGAGAAAGATACGATATTTATTTTTCAAGTAAGACTATGAATAGCGAAGTCATGACATAGCATTAGTTCATAAAGTTCTTGACCACTAGTCACCAAGGTTGTAGCCATATTATTCGTTGCACATCAGTCATGTATCCACTTTCATCTTTGTCGCCTGTCATTTGAAATAAAGGATATTCTGGCGCATGGTGGAATCACCGTGTGTATGTGTGGTCAGGTGAAGGGTACTAGGCAAGATAGGCAAGTCGATTGATGAGGTTGCGAACCTTCATCGACTAAGGTGGGTTGAGCATTTGTTACGCATACCGAGCCACCACCCACCTCAACGTGCCATAGGGGAAGTTAGATTAGATTGGAAGAGGGTTTAGAGTGGCCATACCAAGACCTGTCATCAGTCGATGAAGTCCATGACTATTGGTCTTATCTACGTGGGAAGATATAGACTATCTGATTTGGTTCTTCGAGAGGATAGGCATCAGTGGTTGAGGGCTCTTGGTGAAATAGCTGAAAATCAGTCACAATGGCTCAGCTGTATTCACTCTTTGATGTTTTCTAGAGCTTGAATGTTTTTACTAATCTTAATTTTGAAATTCCCTCTCCTTTTATGCTCTTTACTTTGACATCGGTCTTTTTTAATGTCCACCCGCTCTTTGTATACTCCTATGAATTATGACAACTTGAACCAATGGATTTGTGTGCAAGATTCTACGTCTTTGTAACTGGCATAGTTGCATTTTGGTTGTATCTTTATTTTGTCCATCAAGTCCTCTATCTTTATATCTTTCTCTCTTTGATTTTATATGACTGCAGATGTTGTTATCTTTATTCCTTTGTTTATCTACTTGTTATCTTCCTGGATATGAGAATATGAAGTGGAACAACTTCGGCTGACACTCAGTTACACTAGCTCTCGTTTTTTGTAATATCTGTTCGTCTCTTTCTGTGCTATTGCATAGTATAGCAGCTTGTTTTGCATATGTTTATGCACTGTCTATCTAAATTCGTGTGTTCTACTTAATTATCGGATAGTAACTAATTCCATACTATCCAGGCCTTACTATTACCTAAATTACGTAAGTGAAGTTTTCGTTAAGCTAAGTGACTCAACATCACAGTGCTTTGGATATTTGGTGTTGAAGCGTTCTAGCTGATTACATAGAATTTTCGAACTTGGTCTCTATGAATCATCAACGAGATATGCCTATACTTATCTGATTGTTGTGGTCGTTTAAGGGTTCAAGGGAAAATCGATACCAATGAAAGCTTTTTATATTATAAAATGACCGCTGCAGGAACTAAAAACAAAGCAGTTTGCACCAATCTCTTTTGGATATGAAGCTAAAAATAACCGTTAGACATTTATAGAGATTAAGCATATTTACCGTTCGCGGAAATTCGGTTATTTGAGGACAACGTGAAAGTGAAACTGGTGCCAATAAAATGAAATCACCAGAATATTTAACACGCTTAGCTTTAGAAGTGTGGATGCTTCAAACATACTTGATGTCTTTACTGAAAACAACAAAACAATATTGCGAATATCCGGTGCATTTCTTTCGAGATTTACTGACTCAGAAATCTGAAGTATTTCAGTGAAGGTTCAAGGACGAATAAGGCAAACAATGTCAACATACTGGACCTGGCACTGCTGTGTAGCAGTCCAAGTTGCCATACTTCATATCAGCACACCAAGCGAGAAAGCATTAAGATGAAAGATGAAGAAAAAAAGGAAGAAGAAGCAGTTGAATGGGGTAGAAAATCGCTTTTGGACCTCCATCAGAGAGTAGCAACGGTAACGGTAACTACTTTTTGTCTTCCCACTATCCAACTGACTTTCCTAGTATGATAGGACCTCGAGGGAGCAAGTATTTCACCAGTATAGCTTGTTGGGTGGTTGTGATATTCCAGTCCAACCACCACGTTAAGGTAGCGGCCATTGGACGGGTAAGAACAGTTTATCCATTGTTTATAAAGCGAAATAATTTCTGCGTCTAAGCTGACCGTATGCTCTACTAGGCAAAGATTAATATGCTGCGACATTTCTAATTTCTCAGTACTACATTTTCTGGCGAAGGATGAACATCTCTGATATGCATATTGTTTTCTCAAGGGAGAAGTTTTGTCTGATCAGTTTTTATCTATTATATCTGTTATAGGTTGGTATTCATGATGAACTGACATCAGTTAGAGAAATAGTAGAAGACTGGGAGAACTGAGCAGCTGTTTCGTCCTAGTATGGAACTACTTAGCGGTGTGGGCCAGGATCATTAGTTACTAGCTTTGAGAGGTGATTCGCGATGTTCCAATGAGAAGTCGTGACCAGTGGAGCCAATCAAGTCGAACATGAGGATAGTTACTCAATGACGACATTGGATATAGGTCGCGCTATATAGTGAACTGACAGAAGTAGGAGATGTAGACCATTGGATTCCGACCCAGTGGCCCAATGGTAATGTGCCGGAGGTCCTGGGTTCGATCCGTAGCGGTGTGGGGTCATGGGTGCGCACTGGTGAGAAGTTCAATACTCGGATGAAACAGCTGTTCACTGCTCCTAGTTTCCCCATGTTTCTTGAAATAATGTCAGCCCATGATGAATACCAACCTGAAATCGATAAATTAATTTTCACAAACATCAAAATGGATTGTTTCATTCATGGTGCATTTTCGTGAAACTGTATAGCAATGTCGTTGGTATCTGTTGGCGGAATTTCAAAATGCATTTCTCAATTTATGTATTACTTGTCAATTGGGCAGCTTGGATTCCATTGAGTAGGTTTTTACACTAAGATTACAACCCAACACGTATCTTTTCTAACATTGATGCGTTATTCATCAGTTCCTAAATATCCCGTCGATTAATTAGCTTAATTATTTGCTACCGCTTGGCATGTAAGAGCTGCCTGTGTAGATAGATGGTGCTTTTAAGAGTTTCATCCTAATGCCGTTTATCTTGGTTGCAACGCTAACAACCACCAAGTAAATAATGATATAGTGAAATTCTTATCAATATCAAGTCATCTGTATAAGGGACTGATATGTCAACAGATTCAGAACCTTGTCTTCTCATTAGGTCACATTGTAGTGAGTGCTACTGGTAAGAATGCTTATAAGTAGTATGTGTTGAGAGGTCGGAAGAAGTCACAGGCAATGACGAGCGATGAATAAATATTCTGCACAGAGAAGCCCAAAGATGACTTGACCGTGTCAATAGCAAGATGAGACAAAAGAAGAAGAAGAAGAAGAAAAACTTAAATATATCGCACAAACTGATATTTCAATGGAAGATTAAAATATTTTACAAATTGTCACCCTTCACCCTTTTCTTTCAGTATGCCATCCACGTCATTACTATTTGGTAGTTATTTCACACATCAGTTTCTGGTAGTTCATAATATCGTTAATTATTTTCTTCTATTAACTTTTAGATGAAGGATCTGTATATGTCTTCGATTTACGCAGTAATAAGCCCAGAGTTGTTCATCGTTGGTTCGACCAAGCCAGTACAAACGGCTTGTCTATAGCTTCTTCACCTAATTCACAGTGGATAGCTTGCGGGTAAGCAGTCTATATTGAATTCATCTTACTGTCTACACATTTGTTCGCACATTAGTATGCTATTTAATTTACAGTGTTTTCTGTAGTTTCAGTTACAGATGGTAGCTGTTACTTTCTTGGTGGTTATGCTTGCCTATTGATTTGGTGGAATTGAACTGTCAACTGAAGTACTTGTTCCTCTGGATCTTAATATCCTAGAAATGTCTGGAGATCTGTAAGAGCCACGTAGTTCGAGTATTCAAGAGTCACGTTTTTAAAGTATCGAATGAGTTCTATCAAATATTGTCAAAAAATTGTTTCTAACTAACCTTCTAAGTTAAACTTATATTCAGTCGATAACACCACTAATCTTGAGTTATTTCTCAGGAAGAAGTAGTAGTCTTTCACATAACGGTCTTCCAACGGTACCCTAACTAACAATAAAGGGTAAAGTGGTTAAGTGCGTTGAACACTTCACTTACCTGGGAATTCGGATCAGTCCTGGTGGATTGGTCAGTGGTCGACGAAATTTTTGCACAGATACAAAAGTCTCGATTAGGTTTCACCAACTTACGCCAAATGTGGTACCGCCGCGATATCCGATTATCCATTAAGGATCGAGTGTACTGTGCTACAGTTTGCTCTGTTCTACTGTATAGGTGTGAAACATGGCCATCAAAGGTAGAAAACACGAGAAGACTTCAGGTGTTTGACAACTGATGCCTTCTTATCATAGGGCCGTATTCCGTGTTGTCACCACATGAGTAACGCAGAAGTCAGATGTAGAGTTTTAGGCAGAAGATGTAAGTCAATTAGTGGGGTTGTGAAGCTTCATCGACTTAGATGCCTGGGATATGTGTTGTTGTATATGCCTAACAACCGTCCACCGAAATAGGTTCATGCGTGAAAAAGGCTGGGAACGATGAGACTTATACATGGTATGAATGCATGAAGTCATTGACTGTTGGTTTGAGCCATGTTGGGCGATGTAGACTAGGTGGTCGGGGTCCACGGGACAAGAGGAACTAGTAGTTGGAGTTTCTAGGTGATATGGCTGTGAACCGATATCAGTGGCGCAAATGCATATACACATTATTCTCATAGTAATCCCAATACCTAATTTCATCATCTAATTCTTCCTTTCTTGCTTTTACTAATTTCTACTTCTTATTCCTCTGACCGATTTTCTTTCCTTCTTTATCTTCCATTTTATTGCTTTGTTATCTGGTGTACTGATATGGGATGTGGCAACTTAAACCGTTACGCAGTAATGCCTGGTCCTATGTTGATCTTGATGATGATGAGTCTTTTGCAACCCACATAGCTGAGAATTGTCAACCTACGCATACCAGCAGCGTTTGACGTCTAACTTTCCTCCTCATTGCCTCTTCTTCTCCTCTCTTGGCTTTAAGGACCAGGGCAAGTGTCGTATAAAAAGTAGCAGCTAAACTCTCTTAACAGTCACTTACCTGTGCATGCACTAAGCTGTAAGCCACACCTAGTATTGTGGGGCTGATAATATTGCAAGACTTACCAAATCTCAGTACGTGAGCTGGCGTTCAAACCTGCGAACCGTTAGTGGGATGTCATCATCTATTCAGACTAATGAGAACCAGCTTCACGTGATATATAAATGTAGCTGACATTCTGAATTGTCTATTTAACCTTTTTTGTTTAGAGAATTCAACTCAGTATTACTACAGTATATGACGACGTAATATCTAAATCCTTAGAAAATAAAGATATTTGTGAATATTAATTATTGAACTTGAGTGTATACACTAAGCGACTGAGTCTTAGAGATTAGTCACTACATGGAGTTTCTTTTCTCATCAGTTAGTAGTAGTGTTGCCAGTTTTTCAAAAGCACTCATATGGTTTTCAAGTAATGGGTTGTAAATTCAAACCTAAAGATAGATAATGTTGTTGCCTTTCTAAGATGCGGTAAGGTTTTTAAACAATCATGAAAACCTGAGCATACAGGTTTACGAGTAGAATTCATTGGTAAATTGCAGTTATTTGACAAATAGGTTTTTCAATAATTCTGTTGTAATTAAGTTTTCCCGCTTTGTTTCCCTGAGCTTTTTTATTATTCCCAGTGTTTACCTATTTGTTCATTGAACTGTTGACCATTTCACTTGAGATGTTGGGTCATTGGTCAACGAAATCTCTGCATGGATACGAAAAGGGTCGCTTGAGTTTTGCCAGCTCTGGCACCATATCTGATTGTGTATTGAGTGTATTGCGCAGCAGTTTGTTCTATTCTACTATATAGCTGTGAAATATAATCAAGAAGGGTGAATGATATGACATTTCAGGCGTTCAGCTACCTCTGCCTTTATAGCATAAGCTATGCGTCATGAGGCCATCACGTCAGTTGCATAGGAGTCAGACGTAGAGTTGTAAGCAAGACAGGTAAATCGGGTTAGGTGGTTGTGAACCTTCATCGACTGGGAAATGTGTGACGCATGTGTAATTTTAGTTGAAGTAACTGGAAAAAGGTTAGAGGTGGCTGTTCTAGGAATAAGATATCGATTTATGAAGTCGCGAAATGCTGGTCTGGGCCGCTCAGAAGTGTTGACTTCGAAGTTGGGATCTATTTGACACTGGAAATCGGTGTTTGGTTATATGGCTCAGAATCGATGTCAGTGACTCAGATGTATCCACACATTTTCTTCACCTTAATCGTCATACCAGAATTCATTATTGTTGTTTCATTCCTTCTCGTTCTCGCTTAACGACTTTCTACTATTTTTGACTGCTTTCTTTCCTATTTCTCTATCTTTCATCTTGGTGCATTCTTGCTGACTAACTGTTGAACTTTGTATTTGTACTAATACATCATAATGAATAATAAAACTCAGTTTTTTTATCATATTTTTGAGGGATGAATTTATTTTGCATTTCTGGCTATTTTATATGACCTTATTTTTGTCTAGTGTATCGAGAATTATGCATCGTTCAAAACAGTTCTCCAAAGAAAATAGACTAACCTGTCGAAGACAGCGTCTTAGTGTGTTTTATTTTTTAACCATAAAGACAGGTTACTACTACTATTATTGATTTAACATACATACTCCATTGAAGTTGTGAGATAACCATAAGGTATATTTTTTCTTCCCTTCATACGTTTTTTTTCCGATCATTTTGATGTCAGATCCAAATGTTCTTACTACGAAATCGCTGACCGAATATCGCTTACCTTCGCAAACTAGGCTAAACTCAATCTCTTGGGATTGTTTCAGCAATAATGACTACTGGAATTAAGAAGGTGGATTCACCTTACCTTTCTGTTGCACAACGTATCTGGGGAAATCCTGGCGGTTTACAAGACCGTCCGTGCTTTGAAAAATCACGCCGCTGATCTTGCGCATATGGATCACGATTTTCACTGAGTCAACTTGGCGTCTTATTGGTTAATATTCAGCTGGGCCGTGTGGAGACTCATCGTCGTGCTCATCTTGGGTCGACCCGTAACCCTCGGCTCACAAAACATCCTTGGTTTTCACAAACCAGCACTACTTAACCGTACTGTGTAGAACTTCACTTTGATGCCCTAGTAAGTAACCATAGGACGGATCTATGCTGCCTAGAGAGTCGTAGTTATATAACTGAAGTCTTCGTTCTTCAATACAGTGGCTTATCTATAATATTTTTGGAAAGAGTGCGTGGGTAGTGATTGAATTCAATCGGTGTCCTGTCAAATTATTGTCTGATAATCTCTACCAAGGGAATCTTAGTATCAAACCGCTGGCAAGATTTTAGTTTCAATTGAGTTTACCATGTGTTATTATATCCTACCTGTCTGTTTTGCGAATCAAGGATTCGTGGATATTCACTTTTGATCATTCAGTGTTTAGCCAGTTTTCTTGTGTTAAAATTCGTACTAACTAGAATTCAGTCAGTGGAAGCAGCTACGGGGACTGGGGCTGGAGGAGGGGTGTAGGTGGCGTCAGTGAACTAGAAAAACTGATTTGTTAAATGTTAATGGCAGTATGTGAAATGATGCGTTTCATATTCCATTCCAGTCTTAATGGAAGCATTTAGCTAATGAAAGTTCGGACTGTAAAAACAATTTATTAATGAATTGGAAGTGTTAATCGGATCTTTAATACTGATCAACAGTTTTTTTCCAATCTCTCTCTCTCTCTCTCTCTCTCTCTCTCTCTATATATATATATATATATATATATATATATATATATATATATATATATATATATATATGCATGCTTGTGTTTTGTCTTGCGAGAGTCTCATCCTTTGCAGTTAGCTATATTCATCTAATTCGACATTATATCAGACAGAATGTAACTCAACCTGATACATGCTTATATACCAGACTATACATCACACCTGTTGTGTAAGGGCTTATGACCATACCCAATCACCAAAGTGGATGCAGCGGTATGCTAGATATCTGTCTTTTTTAAAATTGTGGTGATTAGGCTTGAAAAGAAGCCTGGGTTGTAGCAAGATGTTAACTAGCAGAAACTTCCTTTTTATATCGCTTAGTGATCGCAAATCATCTACTCTTTGATCGGCGCTTAGATACTTCGCTGGCGCAAGATATAGCGTAGTTGGTGAAAGCCAATAGAGCTGTTTCTACTTTCAATCGTTTTTCGTCAGCGTCCTCACCTAACAGAACTATTCGTGTGCGTACACTTAGGTAGAAAATTATCTACTAGTAGACTAGATCCAGTACAGTCAGAGAAGAGGGAGACCTGCATAAACACATACATGGAAAAGTCAGATACCTAAAAAAGAAGCAATGAATGTTCTACGGGCGTCATTTGACGTAGATATCTCGTGTAATAACCCCGTAGTTTGTGAAACGACCACTCTTGTTCTAGTATAAAGTCTTCAGTAAGATGATCGTAAGACTTCGTGTACACCGAAGTCAGAGCAAGAAATACTGAGGGCGCCAAGTACCGGTAAAGGTGTACGCCTGTTTTGAAACTTATCTGCATTTGTCGAATTTGCTGTTTCCAAGCTCCACTTAGGAGTCAAGTGATTGTGGAACCCAAAGTCTTTTGAAATATGTTGGTGAAGCTAATTCTTTTATACCTATTCCTTATATTAATTTTATTGAGTTTATTTTTCTATTTATTAGGTCAGATAGTGGTTACGTGAACCTCTATAAATGGACATCCACAATGTCTACAGACAATCCACAACCTGAAAAAGTGATCGGCAATTTAGTTACCGGCGCAGATTCTTTGTGTTTCCACCCGTCGAACGAAATACTCTGTCTTGCTTCATCACAACGTGCTGATGCTGTTCGTTTGGTATGCTTTTTTATTGTCAACGTGTATGATTACTTAATTGTTGTACTTCGTAACTTATAATTGCAAGTTTTCCGACTGTCAAACAGCGAAGACTAAGGACTATTGTTGCTTTATGTAATTAAATGTTATGGACAGAGAAACAGGCTAATCAGCATACAATAAGAACTGACAAAAGTGCATCAAACCAAGTTGCTACACTTCACAGCGGCATGAAAAGAAAATGTGGCAACAAAAAGTGATATCATGGTATGCCAAAGTTATTGGAGACAAAAAAGGATAAATCAATGAAAGTTAATCAAAACATTCAAGACTTCGAAAACGACGAAAAGTGTATACGTCTGCATCATTGTTACTGATTTTCAGCTATTTCACCAAGAGTGTTCAGCCATTGATTCCCTAGTCAGACGGATTACACCTCCCCTATGACTCACCTCAGCAGTCAGGGACTTCAGAGACTGGCGCCATATCTTCATCTGAATACCCTTGGCGTTTGTCCAGCCGAGTCCTGCTGCGGTTGACATTTCATGTTGAGGTAGGCGGTGGCTCGACATTTGCAACACATGTCTAAGCCATGTTTGTTGATGAATGTTCACAAATTGATACACTAACTTGCCTTCCTGACCTCGCCTGGTTAACTAGTTTACTAGTTACTAGCCGGTCCTAAGCCCGGGTAAAGAGGGAAGGTTGGGCATAGGGCTAGCAACCCTACCCCGTAAAACAAATCTAACCGCTAAAGAAACTTCAAAGCACAAACAAAATATAAAAAATGAAAACAAACTTATTCCCCGCTGGAATCGGAGAGGCGAAATGACGCCAGTTGGTGAAAGCCTTCGGGAAGCCAATTGGCCGATGTGTCTTCTCTCGATGAAAGCGAAAGTAAACGTGGGGACATGGAATGTCCGCACGATGTTTGAACCCAGTAAGGCAGCCCAGATTGCAAAGGAGATGAGAAGGTATAACATCGAAGTGCTTGGGATTTGCGAAAGCAGATGGAATGGGAGTGGACTCTCCAAACTGTCAACTGGAGAATCAATAATCTACTCCGGTCACCCAGACGCCAACCACGAGCACACTGAGGGAGTGGCTATCATGATGTCCTCAAGAGCATCGAAGGCTCTCATGCAGTGGGAACCAATCTCCTCCAGGATCATGACAGCAAGATTCAACTCAAAAGGAAGAAAGGTCACAATCATACAATGTTATGCACCTACAAATAATGCAGAGCAAGAGAAAAAGGAGGAATTCTACAGACAACTTCAATCAACACTGGACAAGACGTCAGTTGGCGATATCAAAATTCTAATGGGCGACATGAATGCCAAACTGGGAGGGGACAACACGGGAAGAGAACTAACCATGGGTCGAGAGGCGCTAGGTGAAATGAATGAGAATGGAGAATTGTTTGCAGAATTCTGTGCATTCAACGATTTGGTGATTGGAGGCAGTGTGTTCAGGCACAAGGATATCCACAAAGCGACATGGATTTCACCAGATGGACACACTAAAAATCAAATCGACTTTATCTCAATCTCAAGAAAATGGAGACGCAGTCTACTTAACACAAGGTCAAGAAGAGGAGCAGATGTAGGTTCAGACCACTATCTAGTGCAAGGAACCTTCCAAATCAAGTTAAAAGCCTTCAAGGAAGCTGGTGATAGACCTCAATTCAAGTACAACACTCGGAAACTGAAGGATGAAACTACAAAGGAGATCTTCAAAGCAGCCATCAAGACAAAATGGGAGACATCGAGGGACATCCCTGAAGAAACCTGTGTGGAAGAACACTGGAAGTCTTTGAAAGCTATGTGGAAAGAAACCTGCACAACAGTATTAGGAAGGAAGAAGAAAGAAGACAAGGAATGGATCTCGACGGATACCTGGAAGCTGATAGAGGAGAGGAGGATGGTGAAGCAGAAGATAAACCAGTGCAAGGATGCTCAACGACAAGAGGAACTGAGCACAATGTATAAAACACTGGATAAAGAAGTGAAGAAGAGTGCACGCAAAGACAAAAGACACTTCTACGAAACACTGGCAAGTGAAGCAGAACAGGCTGCAGGTAAGAGAGACCTGACGACATTGTATCAAATAACCAGGTTGCTATCAGGGAAGAGACCAACACAGATGAAACCAATAAAAGATGAAGAAGGAAATTTAATTACAAAAGAAGAGAAACAGAGGAAACGATGGGCCGACCACTTCAAGAAGCTCTTGAATCGACCACCACCTGCACTTCGTCCAGAAATACCACCTGCAGCCGCTGAATTACAAGTGAACATAAATCCCCCAACGAAAATGGAAGTCCTGAACGCCATAAAGCTACTGAAATGCGGGAAAGCAGCAGGACCAGATGGAATACCGCCAGAAGCACTGAGAACAGATGCAGAGACAACAGCGGACATGCTCACACCACTATTGCAGAAGGTGTGGAGGGAAGAGAAGGTACCTGACGATTGGAAGAAGGGTTACCTTGTCAAACTGCCGAAGAAGGGAGACCTCAGTGCTTGCAAGAACTGGCGCGGAATCACTCTCCTGTCCACCCCAAGTAAAATATTAAGCCGCATCATCCTGGAGAGGCTTAAAGACGCACTGGATTCAAAACTGCGACCGGAACAGGCAGGCTTCAGGAAGTACAAATCATGTGCAGACCAAATTGCAACGCTTCGTATCATCATAGAACAGAGCGTAGAATGGCAATCAGCTCTATACCTCAACTTCATCGACTTTGAGAAGGCCTTTGACAGCGTCGACCGAGAAGTAATTTGGAAACTGCTTCAATACTACGGAGTACCGCAAACCTTTATCCGCCTCATTCAACAACTATATGAAGATGCCACATGCCAAGTAATCCACAATGGGAAGCTCAGTGATGCCTTTGAAGTGAAGACAGGAGTGAAACAAGGTTGCCTACTATCCCCCATGATATTCTTGATTGTGGTGGACTGGATCATGCAGCAAACAGTAGGCAGCGAGAAGAGGGGGATACACTGGACGACGGAAAAGAACCTAGAAGACTTGGATTTCGCCGATGACTTATGCCTAATGTCACATAAACTTGAAGATCTGCAGGCAAAAACTAACAAGTTGATAGAAGAGGCAGCGAAGACGGGACTTCAGGTGAATATAGAGAAGACAGAAGTGATGAAGATACCGCACCACCACCATCAACAACAACAACAAACTCCAATCACCGTCAACGGGAGAAACTTGAAGGAAGTAACCTCCTTCACTTATCTAGGAAGCACTGTTTCAACTACAGGCGGGACGGACGAGGACGTCAAAGTCAGAATCGGAAAAGCAAGACAGGCGTTCATTAGCCTGAAACCAGTGTGGAGATCTTCTGCACTCAGCATGCGGAACAAGATACGGATTTTCAACACCAACGTCAAGTCAGTGCTCTTGTATGGCTCAGAGACTTGGCGCGTCACGAAAGGCATTTCCAATAAACTACAGACATTCATCAACAACTGCTTACGCTCGCTGCTGAAGATCAGATGGCCAGAAAAAATAAGCAACAAGGAACTCTGGGAACGAACCAACCAAGAACCTATCACGCAACAAATATGCAGGAGGAAGTGGAGATGGATTGGCCATGCACTGAGAAGGCCGACTGAGGACATCACGCGTCAGGCCAGTTGCTCGAGTGGAATCCCCATGGGAAGCGACGAGTTGGACGTCCGAGGGTGACATGGAGGAGGTCATGCGAGGAGGAAATGAGAGCTTCTGGGCTGTCGTGGGACCAGGTTCAAAAGATCTCAGAGAACAGAGGTCACTGGAGGCGTGCTACTGAAGCCCTATGTTCCACTAGGAACCCAAGGGACTAACAACAACAACAACTTGCCTTCCTTACCCAATACCTTATGCCTAACCTCACCATTGCTCAGACATTGCTTCCAACACACGCAGTGGGCACCGCAAAGACAATTATGTTCAGAAACCCGTAACCTCTTCATATCTTCTGCTTTCAAATGCTATTTCTCATAGCCAGCCAATAGGAAAAAGCAAACTTCTGCTTAGTATACTCATCCTTTGGTAGATAGTGGAATATTTCTCTAAGCTGGTGTCTTTCATATCTCAGATGGGATCTCGTCGACAACCAACGCAATAGGACCGATGAAACTTCTGAAATAAGCTAGATGGTCAACACATTCTACCACTTCATTTCCTATCCTCAAAATATGATTAACTGCAGACTATTCCTGAAGAATCGTATTCCATTTGATAGAAGCATGCAAGTTATAATCCAGTTTTCTCAATGGTATTCGGAAGATTGTATTTCAGAAGCTTTATAGATATTTATTATACGATTGCCTTTTACATTTTCGACATTCTTATAGTGTGCTGATTAGGATAGTCCTTCAGCTTTACTGACTTGACACTAACTACATGCAATATACATCACATGCACCTGAGAATATAAAAAAATGTACGTTAGAGATCCGCAGATATCCGGTTTCTAACTGTCAAGCGTTTTTTACCTACTTTCTGTCCTATCCTAAATTTCATCGTTTTAACCACTATTTATCGTAGTGGTTATTGTGAATAGTGTACATTATTTTTTCGACAATAACGTGTTAAATCAACAGCTCTTAGGAATGGTGTGATGATTGATTTCATTATACATGCACTACTTACCTAATTTTTGTCTTCTCTCTATATTTTTACGCTCCACTAAGAAGTGGGCACCAAAACTATGCCAAAAATAGCTACTTATTACGTTACATTTATTTGTTACACTGGCTATTGATTTATAACTGTTGTGTTTACAGAAGAAACTATTGGAAACAGTTGATTATTCAAACATTTCATATTATAAGTTGATCAAGAGGGAGGTAAGATGAATTTGTCTAAATAGAGAAAAGGATAATCACATATCGAAATATACTGCTGAACAATTTCGTTAACTCCATGAGTGAAATCAACACTAAATGACCGTTTCGTTCGTTTACAACAGAGTCCATGAACGTTTTAACCCCCCCCCCTCCCCCATTATTGTCAAACAGTTAGGAGAAATATGTAGTGTAGATTATTAGCGTGATCACTTGGCTGTTGATCGGTTAATGTCGTTCTATTTATACCCACTTGGTATCATAAATCCTAACATTATAATAAGTATGGTCCATAACCTTATACTTAAATATTTGTACCAGACTGTTGCAATATAAGTTATTATATTAACATGGAACTTGTAATTTGTAAATAATTTTCTAATTAATCATAATCAGATCTTTTTGTATGTATTACATATGTAAATTTACATCCTTTTTTAGTATCATTTGAACGAAGGCCTTATTTTCGAAAATTTCCCTGTTCGAGTGGGTACTCTACAGAAGCCGACGTCGATTGGATTTAGTCCTGGAGGTCGATATCTGTGTATTGGACAGTGTAATGGTCGAGCTGCACTATACTCATTGAATCATTACAGCAACTATTGATTGTTTTACTTCAGTTTTGATTGTATATATAAAGTTTCTTGCTGCTTCCCACCTAATTACCCAATTTTCACGAACTTCATACTTTGTATTCGATATTCTTGCTAAGCGAATACAAATCGATGAATATGAGATTTTTTATGTTGTTGCCTGCGGGCTGGTCAGCTAAGACGTTTTCTTTCAATGTACCAGTAAATTCATTTTGCAAATGATTTACGAACTGTACGTTGACGTTTTTCTGAGTTGCCCAACTGTGGTGTCAACGGGGTTTCCAATGAAAACTACCCAGCAACAATCACAAAGTCTAAACAAATTGAGTAGTAAGAAATTACTCAGGGTGATCTTTATATTCCATATATATATATATATATATATATATATATATATATATATATATATATATTAATGTCCGTAAATACTATATATTCCTTGCACCATTGAAGTGCAAAGTACTTTTGCAGGATTGGAGTCTGTGCATGAGCTCAACCTCGGTGGTGAGTCGTTGAAAGTAATCGAAAAGTTCGTGCATCTGGGCAGTATGTGAGTGCTGATGGAGGTGTGAGTGATGGAATTTCCCACCGCACATCGAAAGCCAGAGTGGCATATGCCAATCCAGACAACCTTTGACGCAATCGCGACGTTAGTCTGACCGTAAAAGATTGGGTTTATCACGCTTTGGTGCTAGTAGTTCTGTTCTACGCCTGTGAAACCTGACCTCTCAGAGATGAGGATATGCGAGGATTCTGTGTGTTCGGTCATCACTGTCTCCGTAGGAGTGCTCGTATCTGGTGGCAACACCATGTAAGTAATTCTGAGGTACGACTGTGTGTTTGGGCATGATGGAGATCGTCATTCAATGAGTAAAGTCATCTTGAAAATCCAGGTTCGGTGGCTTGGATATGTGTTATGCACTTCGCCCCAATGGCTTTCATACTGTTCATTGTTTGTTAGCCCTAGGACTAGATGGAAGAAGCGGGTGGTTGTGGGTGGGGGTGGGGGTGGGGTGGTCAGTGTATGACGTGATGCCATGGGATGAAGGGTAATTGTATCAGGTTAGCATGTGTTGGTGAATCACGACTCTGTGGGTGGGGTCCGAGAGACAATGGAACTCATTGGGTTGAGACGTTATCAGACATGACTGAGGATGGAAACCATTGAGGGTCATGCTGTAGCTTCCTTCTATCTTCTACTGCTGAAAATATAATGACTGTTTTAAATATATTTTACTGAGCTGCCCTTCTAATCATGCTATTTCTTCTTGAGTTTTATTTTAATCCACTTCCCTTCGCTTAATGTCTTCATAATGTTGTTGTTGAAATATGCTAGAGGACTTTGGAATCATCTCTTTCTCAAGCTTCGGAATTTCAATATCTGCTAGCAAATGATTGAGGATGTAACTAGTTGCCAAGGTTATATTTGGACGCTTGCGTTTTGTGGCCGAAGAATATAATTTCGAATGTTTTAATTAGGAGCACGGACAAGCTTATTAAATTGATCTCTCTCGCATCACTCAAAATTTATCTGTCAGAAGATTTCGAAGTTTCTCATATGATAGAGAAATAGGCATCTCAGGAAATGCAAGATTTTTCAGTAGTATATGATTCTGAACCGACTGCAGTAATGGACTGAGGGTGTATTTTCCCCTCACGCAGGTTCTTTGATTAACACCATCAATCCAAGCATTCCAGGCGGTCTTTGAATTCCCATGGGAAACTGTTACTAGGCTGGTTAATTCTATTTTGGCCAGGCAGTACCGGAATTATTGGGAATTGAACTATTCCACTATGTAGACAATCATGAAATAGTAATCAGTAGGATTTTTTGTTTCAATGTTATTTTTATTTACTACGCGTACACTCAGACTTAGTCCGCAAGCTCAATTTTGCTTTACCTCATTATGGATATTAAATGCTAGTTGGATGGAAGCAATCGGTAAGAAGCCCTGAGTAGAGGTTTCTTACTTTTTGGCACTCGTCAACAACCTCTACGGAACTGATCTCCCTCCCAAGGTTCGAACCCGCGCCACCCAGTGATGCAGCCAGAGATGTTACCAGTGAGCTATTCGGGCTGCAACTGACCTCCTGTAGGATTGGATTAGGCACACTGATTGGCCAGTGGAGAGTAACCAACTTCGTATTATGACGTGGGTTCGAATCTCCGGTGAGATATCACTTCCGTAGAGGTTGCAGATATGCCTTGTTGACAAGTGCCAAAAAGTAAGAAACCTTAGGTTCAGGGCTTCCTGTTGATTGCCTCTATCCAACTTACATCTATCAAAGTGCATCGCTATGTTAAGTCAACTAGTCTCGTAGCCACATGGCAAAATAACTACTAGAATTCGATCAGTACTTAGGACTAGAAAACATGAAGTTGGTTACTCTCCAGAGACCAATCAGTATGATATTAAGTACTGTAACTTACGTAATCGTATTTACTCAGGTAGGATTTATATGCATGCTTGATTCTTACAAGATGAAATTCGTTTGAGTAGTGGATAGTTTCAAGTTTCCACTTCTATTCTTAGTACCATAACCAATGGTTAATTACCAAAAGTAATAGAAGCGATGAAAATAGAAAAACGGCGTTCGCGTTTTTCTACTAATTATGACCAAAAATTTATAGACGAATGTTTTCATTTGATCACTTTCAAGATTCTATCAATGTCGTGCATTTTTAAACTATCTAATTCGATAGTGCAACTTTAAAGGCCACTATGCCAACGGTCGAAATAGCCATTTACGTTTCTCCATTTCCTCTGATAAAACAGGTTTTAATAAAACCGAAAAGTCAAAGTGGTTATTCCAGTTGTTGCTAGGGTGGCGTTTAAAGTCACCTACCCGGATGATGGACTTTAAAGACCACCCCAGCAACAAATGAAATAAGTAATTAGACGTCGTAGTTTATACTAATTTGACTTACCAGCCGAAATGGAGAAACCTAATCTGTTATTTTGATTGTTGCTGGGGTAGCCTTTAAAGTCACTCATAAAAGGAGGCTTACTTCAGTGTGTACTCCAGTAATCTGATGATCTGAATCGTACAGTGAAGTCGTTTTTTAAAACTCATTTTTGGGATTCACTGGTCATGATTAAATTACCGTCCCAGTATGACATTAATGATAATTAGTATTGATTATTGTTTGGATTCTTTGAAATAATTCATTGAGTGGATAGACATCATGTTACTTCGACTTTCGTTGGTGTATCCATTTCAGCAGCTGATCGTCACTGATCTCATACATGTTTTCAGTCCATTGATGTTATTAATGTATAGAATTTGGGCAGTGTCAGAGAATGACATTAGATATAGTTAGTATTTGTGTAAGATATACAACGTGTTTGAAATGAAATAATTTCAACGTTTCACACAGAAGTCTGATCCGAGCTTCCTCAGGGAAATAATCAAAAATATATAAATGAATCCAAAAACACGATCTAGTGTCTTTGTCCAATCCTCATCTTGGAGCCAGTCTTTCGAAAATATGATTACTAGTCATTCAATGTGAAATTGTATGGTTTGTGTATGTGTGCGTGTTGTTATTCGTACTCTTCTTGATTATAAATATGAAACAAAGGTCATAGGTGAAATTGTAGTCATTTGGTGATTTTTTATGAATACAATTGGGCGTATGGGGTGAGTATGCATGTCAATTAGGTGGGTATATGGGAATGAATAATATGAACGAATTTTTCACTGATTTTTCGAAATAGGGGTGGAAAAGAATGGTAGTAATGATGGTGATGACGACAATAATAATGAATTAAGTCAATCCAAATTATATTGTTGATGTAGAGATAATGAGGTTGAGAGTGACGTTGAAGGTAGATGCTAAAGTTACTCTTTTCGCTTACTAATTAGTAATTCCCCAAAGGGAGCTAATTGTACTCTATCTCGTTTGTTCACCCTTTCTTGGTATGACCCAAAACCTTTTGTGAAACCTTGGTTCCATCAAGTCGATTTTGTGGCCCATTTCAATGGAGTGTAGTGCACTTATCGACTTGTTTTCTAGCTTCTGAGGTTTTCAGAAGCGGTCTTTTCTTCCTCACTGTTCCATCCATCCAGATCAACCTAGGACCAGGCATTACTGCGTAACCATCCGAGTTGCCACACCTCACATCAGTACATCAAGTAAAAAGGCAATGAGGCACAAGATGAAGATAAGAGAATGCAGTCAAAAGAAATATGAAGTACGAAAAGAGAGAAAGGAAGAATGAGAAAATGGTGAGATTCGATATAGCGTTGTTAAGATGAGGATAATGTGTGATATACATCTGCGCCACTGACATCAGTTCTGAGGCATATCACCTAGAGTCTCCAACCACTGGTTCCTCTTGTCCTTCACACTCCAACCACCTAGTCTGCATCGCTCCACTTGGCTCAAACCAACAGTCAAACACTTCATACATTAATGCCATGTTTTAGTCTGGTCACCTCGGGTCCTTTTCCAGACTGGACCTACTTCGGCCAACATTGTGTGATGAGACAGAAGGCGACTAAACATAAGTAATACGTGTCCCAACCATCTCAGTCGATGAAGGTTCATGACCTCGTCAACTGATTTACCTCTTCTCCCTAAAACTCTACACCCGACGTCTGGAATACGGTCTATACTATGAAGGCAACGGTGGTCAAACACCTGCAGCCAGCCTTCTCATGTCTTCCACCGTCAATGGCCATGTTTCACAGCCATACAGTATAACAGACTGGACTGCTGTGCAGTACATGCTATCCTTAATAGACAATCGGATATCATGGCGGCACTACAGGTGGTATAAGCTGGCGAAAGCCAATTGTGCCCTTTGTATCCGTGCAGAGATTTCACCGGCCACTGAGCCATCAGGGCACGGCTGATCCTACTTCCCAAGGTCAGTGAAGTGGTCGACACACTCAATCACTACACTCTATTGTTAGCCGCGGTGGGGCACCGTTGAAGACCAATCCTGGAGCAACAATTTGCATTTGGGTGGTGAGAACCCTATACCAAACATTCTCAAATTCCCACTCAAAGTGTTCACAAGACTCTGCATCTTGTCAGCATCTTCACCTAACAGGACAATATCATTTGCATATTCTAGGTCTAACGAAAATTCCCCACCGATTAGGTCAACCTGTGTGTAATGAGGTGACGAGAGGGAAACCTCCATAAGAATATCTGTGATAAAATTGAATGACAGTGGAGAGAGTGGGCACCCTTGACGGAGACCACTCGTTGAGCATAGCTGCCTGAACATCTCTCTATAGGCTCTAACACGCCTGCAAGTGTTCGAGTGGAGAGCCTTCAATAAAGTGATGTACTTACTCGGTAAGCCTTTCAGTGAGAGACATTGCCTTAAGACTTCTCGATCAATGGAGTCGAATGCCGCCTTCAGATCGAGAAATACAGCTAGTGTTGGGCGTCGGTAAGCTTGTCTGTGTTCCAAAACCTGGTACAGTGTGAATATTTGGTCGATGCACCCGTGGCCAGGTCTAAAGCCTACCTGATTTTCTCGGGCTTGGTGTTCCCCAGCTCCACTCAGGCGTCGAAGAATCACAGAACCTAGGATCTTGGACACTATATTCATCAGGCTGATTCCTCTGTGGTTATCACAAGAGGACTTCTCGTCTTTCTTGAAAACTGGGATAATCAGTGATTTAGACCAGTCAGAGGGGATCGTATATGATTCCCATATACTGGTTAGCACTTCCGTCAACCTGACTAACACCACCTTACCACCATACTTGTATACCTCTGGAGTTAGTCCGTATGGTCCTGCTGCCCTTCCTGGTTTCAGGTTACCTACTGCTTTCTCAACTCCTCCTAGTGTTGGGGGGCCTATCTCAGTGTTCTGTTCAGGATCTTACTGGATAGCGGGCAACGCAATGGTGGATGGAGGCCAGTTAGACTGTTCGTCGAAGTGTGCTACCCATCGTTCCAGTCGTCTCTCCTGCGAGTGAATCTCAGACCCGTCCTTCTCCGCTACTGCTTCACTAACTGTTGTTGATCTCATCCCCACAGTTTTTAATAAGTCTAAATAACTGTCTACTTTTACCAATCGCCGCTGCCTTTTCTATCTGTTTAGCCGTCACTGCCCATTACTGTTCGCGGTCATTGTGTAGACTTTTTCTCAATCTACTTTTAAGTTGTGCTCTCTCTTTATTGTACTCGTGGCCTGCGGGGATACGTTCACGTGCATCCATTAGTTCGGAAGAAGGTGCTGATATCCACTGACTCTTTTTAGTCACTATTTCGGAGTCGGCTATGGTTTTCAGCGCTGCTTTTACGGCAGACTGGAGATGGCACCAAGCTTCTTCTGGGTGAGTGGTAGTCTTCTATTCCGATAACTGTCCAGCCAACTTCTCACTGAACACGGCTTTAGTGTTTTCGTTGTCCAGCAGTACTCGTGGTGGTTTTGTTGCTATTTTATTTTACGTCCATTGAGACGTAGACATATACGCGCTCGGACCAACGCGTGGCCACTATCCAAGCACGTACTCCAGAAGGAGCGGCAGTCTTCCACCGATCCTCTCCAGTGATGACTAATAGCAATGTGGTCTATCTGTGTCCATCGCTGGGTTGAGCTCGGTGGACGCCACGTCATACAGTGTCTTTTCTTATGTCTGAAATTTATGCTGGCTAAAAATAGGCGATTATCTGAGCACAGTTGAAGTAGGCGATCACCGTTATCTGTTCGTTCAACCGGGACTCCGAAAGTGCCACCTAAGTGCCTTTCTGCCTCACTCAGTCTACCCACCTGTGAGTTGAAATCACCAGCAACAACCACCACGTCCGAACGTTTGGCTTTCGAGAGGAGGTTAGACAGTTTACGGTAGAACTCGTCCTTCACTTTATCTGAACTACAGTCAGTAGGTGCAGAGGTTACAAAAAGACGACGGCGAGTTTCACTATTCTTTCTAGTTCTCACTCTACCGTTCAGTCGGATAGCGTAGAGGCGACTATCAACTGGGATCCAGTTTAGTAGTGAGTTTTCCACCCTAGTGCTTAATGCTATGCCTGCACCTGCAAGACCGTGAAAGCTAGCTATCGAATATCTAGAAACTGGGAGGGTGGATTTTGCGGATTCACCAGATTGGCCGGGGGATGTTAGGTGAATAACCACACTTGGGTCCTGTATGCGTGTCTGACAAGCACAGCACATATCCATGACCCGAGTCTTTGTCAACGAAGCTTATTGACCAATTTGATGGAGGGTGCGGGCATTGAGGGCACCAATATGTAATTTGGAGCGTGATTTAAGGAGACCAAGGATGCTGTTCTGTGAACTCAGATCGTTGTCAAAGGCTGCAGAACTAGGAGAAATTAAAGATGATGCAGTATTGTTAATTGGGAGACGTGAAGGAAGATTAGGAGGTAATGATGGGGGTGGTGGATAGCAGTCCTAGGGAACTTGAGTGCTGGTCGATTTGTGAGGGCGGTTGACACTTCCCGGCTGCCCACATCGTGGAAGGCTATTTCTTCTTGAAGTACCTGAAAGATATTGGTGTGACCGCAGAGCCCATCGGACATGTGCTTGAGGCCTGTCACACGTATCCTTTTGAGTGTGATTATTTTGAACTTTTGTATTTTTGGGGCCGGATGGTTGAAAGGAGATGATAAATGAACAGACAACGCCAGTGCGGCAGACCGTGGGGTATGGTGGTGTGTTATTTTTTGGGCCGACCTCTCCTAACGCATACCCCTTTCCACTGAGAAGGCAGCATCAGCATGGCACTGCTGGTAATTCAAGGGAAACACCTAACTGCTGTCACACCCCACCCAGCTAACAACAGTACGACTCCGCCTTCAGACCCCCATCGTAGCGTAGTAATTTGCACCACAACGGTAACTGCTTTTCGTCTAACCCCTATCCAACAGACCTTCTTGGTATGGTAGGACCTCGAGGGAACAAGTGTTCCACTAGCATAGCTCGTTGGGTCATTGTGATATGCAAGCCCGACTACCACGTCAAGGTAGCAGCTATCGGTCCTCACTGTTAGATTTACCTATATGGTTGTCTCTGCCAAAATACTGCATTATAATCTGAGCATTTGATTTCTCAAACTCAATTGTATTGATTTTATTTAGGTACTGCATCTTTGTCTTTCAGTAATTCAAAGCCTAGAGTGTTTGTTGCACGAAAATAGACTCCTATTTCATATATATATATATATATATATATATATATATATATATATATATATATATATATATATATATATATATATTGAGAATCCTTCTTATTTCTTCCGAGGTTTCTTTTCGATATGGAATTATCACAGTGTTAATCCAATTCTTCGGAGAACCGCTCAATATTCATTACCAGAAGATAAATGCTACAACATCACGGACCACGCTGAACAAGCTGAAAGGCGAAACTAGCGTTAAACCCTTCAAAATATAAATTCACAATGGGAGTAAACTGCTATTCACAGTTGATTTAAAAACAGATTTTCATCGAAATACACAAAAATCTAGACATAAGTTAACGAAATGAATAATTTTATTGCATTTGTTCATGGAAATTGTACTAATCTGTTTACAGTCTATAAGCTAACATTGGTTTTTTTCAACTTAAGGATCAGAGTTGCAACTGATGAATATTAAAGTATAAACTGGCTATATACTTGAAAAATCCAAAATATACATTTCATTTATAATATATTTTTTGAGTTCGTTTGAAACTGCTATACATCACATCATCCAAGACAGGAAAAATAAATATACTTGACAAAACTCTGATCAGTTACACAATGCTTAAAATTAATTCAAAGCCTAGTTTCGAACTTCGGTTTTCAGTTTAAGACCGACTGAAAAATTTATTGTTCTCTTCAATGCTGTGCTTCAGTTAACTTTGAGATAAGTTCCATTTCATTCAAAAACTAAGAAGTTATCTATAAATTGTACAACGTTTGATGAGATCATTTAGTTACTGAGCGAAATGTCATTAATTAACTGTATTCATACTGAGAGAGAATTTGTTAAGTGCGATGGAATTTCAATGAAAGTTCATAGTGCGCAAACAAGTTATACTACTACTACTACTACTACTACTACTACTACTACTACTACTACTACTACTACTACTACTACTACTACTACTACTACTACTACTACTACTACTACTACTACTACTACTACTCACACTACTACTACTACTACTCACACTACTACTACTACTACTACTACTACTCACACTACTACTACTACTACTACTACTACTACTCACACTACTACTACGACTACTCACACTACTACTACGACTACTACTGGTTATCTAGTTACATGTATTGTGAAATCTGTGAAAGGTTGACCAAACGGGTAGACTACAAAATATGGTAGGAAGATTTTAAACGACAAGGAAAATCTGTCTATCCGTACTCCAGATCGGTTAATATTCATGAATAGTTTGTATGCTGCTTGAAACAGAATTTATCACTGCAACATACGCAAGGAATTTTGAATATGTATTTAAGAACATAGTGTAAAAATATACATGTGATGCATTGAAAGAGACAAAGGGAATGGAGATTGAATTGAACTACTTGTCCAGATAAATAGAATAAAATCTTTTTCTAATTAGGTTACAATACTGTTATCAGAACAAGATAAAAATTGATAATCACAGTTGTTTTTATGTCAAGGTCTGGTTAACATCATTTCATTGTAATCGATTCCGGGAAACGAAGCAAGATCATATTTTCCTTTGCTTTTTGATAATTGTAAATGTATTTGATATGTCTACTTTGTGCTCCAGAGTGACCAAATATAGAATGATCACATATTTAAATGATCGAGTACATTTAGATCTTTGAGATATCACAGAATGTACTCCGAAAAGTATATGGTCGTCCATCTTCCTGTCCTTTTAATGTTGCTGTTTTGTGGATACACTTGTTGGTAAATTAAAACGTTTATTGTCCTTAGTCAACTCAGAAAAACAGGTTCGATAAGCTTCAGGAAATGTGATTCTTCATCCCTTTTTCATTTACTTTAGTATATTAACACTTTTAAAAGTTAACTGACTGAAAATAATCTTTCTTTCTGATTGTGACAATACTTTCTTGTTCCTCATATCTTCTTTCATTATTGATTAATGAACTTTTCTAAACATAAATGTTTAGATGGATACTTTTTAAGAAGAGTTACACCCGTCATGCAGTTTATTTGCTGCCGAGAGTAATCTCATCCTGTAAAGTGATGATATGACTATGCTCTGTTTATGGTTTATTGAACAGCTACTTCTATAATTTACATGCTGCGTACTCTAGATGTTTTTATGAGGAATGCCATCTGCAATCATATTATCTTTTCATCTAATGAACTGATCCAGAAAATGAAAACAGTTACAATGCTTGGTACTTATTTGTGGTTCAGAACATAGGTAACAATAGTTTATTCCATTTTTTAAAGCTGCAATATGTGTGTCCGTAAACGTTTGATAATTTTAGATGGATTGACAACTGATGTGTTGTTGTCTTAAGTTGTAAATGCAGAAAAGTTTTCTTCATTCACTCTCATCAATTTTCTTTTGGTTTTACCGAATCATACTGACAGGAAAAGGCCTTCGAGTGTGAAAATGCGCTCTTTCTGGCTAAGATTATGCCTGATTGTTGATTAAATTGACTGACCGCTTGCTATTTAATAGAGGAAATCCTTAACAAATTTTAGAAATTGGATATGGATGCACTTGTGTTTCTATAGGGATTTTACACTTTTCCGAAGCGCCTTTTGAACTGCTTTGAGTTTGTGTGTGGCTGGAATGATGCATCGTATCTTCCTAATCCCGGTTGATGCCCATGAGTATCTCAAACCTTCTAGTGATTGAATATATCGAAATAAATATTCTACCACTCAGTCATTCAGAATATAGATCATGTTTTTATCGCATCCTGTCATTGTAAGACCTCACTAGTGAATGAGATAGGAAGTCAAGATTTATTCGCCCTAATGAACTCATCATGTTTACTGTACCATGGATATCTCATTCAGGTTCAAAGTACAACCCGTTTACCTAGTATTTTCATATGATAAGTTTAGTTTGATGGCATGTGTGTTGATTCAGTCAGTCCAAATGGAAACTTAGGTAGGTATTTCTATTTATATGGGTGGAAAGTTAACTGTCTAACAAAGGAAGTGACTGTCCTTGGATTGTGTCACTTATGTGTATATATTCTACTCAGTGAATACCAGGAACATGTTTATTTCACATTTAAAACAGTTTCTCAAGCGATAAGAGGTTAAGGATAGAAAATTCATATCGGTTAGCAGTTGGGAAGTGTAACAATTACTTCATTATTGTTGCCACTATTTTTCTGCATCTGCCTACTGAACATTTGGTTCGAATAGGTATTTTAGCAAATTGTACTCTTAGGTTAAATGTTACAATTTCATTCCACTTAGTTATATGCTGATATGACGTTGATGTCTCAATGATGAATGACCATCTTGGCTTAATTAGCGTATTTTGACATTTATCTTTTGTTTCAAATGAAGTGTTTTATCTCTTCCATATACAAATGAGTATTGTCTAAAGATTTCTGTGAACCAGGTTCCGACATTTCTCCCCCCCCCCACATTTTAGCAAAAGAATTTTTCACACCTATGGAATTATATTATTTTTCGCAGAACTCAGTTGCTTCTCCCTATTTAACAAATGGTGTCTGATTAAAGAGGTAGATAGGCTATCGATGTCATCTGCTCATTTGACTGACTGATGACCATACAAATGTAGAAGAATATGTAAATCAAATATTTTACGGTGTTGAAAATAACTGACACTATGCGGTAAACAATCTATCTCATCAAAATAGCAGATAGAATGATACATCAGGGTAAATTCTATACTGTTCTCTAAAATTTTAAACGTAAAGAAGAAATAGGCATGGGACGACCTTGGTGGTGACTGAAGCAATGTGTAACTCAAGGGGCTGGGAATTATTATGAAAGTAGCTCGAAACAATAATTATCTCACGTAAATAAAACAAGTTACGAGTTTTATGATAAAAAGCAGTAAGTACACTTCTTTTGAGAAGGATTTCCTGTCAATGATTGTCTGATTAGTTACACAAATAATTCCCAGTCAACTTTATTGAATAGATTGTTAATTGCATATAATTTTTTATTTCAATAGGTGTTTAACTCCATCGCTTTTGTCAGCTTCTGGCTAAAATGACTCTCAGAGCTTCTCAATTAAACGAGTCATTTGAAAAATCAAACTAGTCGTTATATGTGTCGAATATCGACTGTAGTAGCTTAGGTTCCGTGTTTCAAATTATTTTAAGTTTTTCAAAGATTTTAATGCATATTTCCTGTCGAACCGTTCAGGTGATATTTCTAAAATGTTTTGATACGGACAGTTTTTAATTACAATATAATGAGTTGGGGTAGTTTTTGATAACCAGTTCATTTTGGAGTTGTCAGAAGCAGAATATCGTCGGATAAGTGTCAGTTCATCTGTTGAATATCAGAAGTCAGTAGTTGGCTGGATCACCTAGTTTATTTGAATATGGAATTATCGATCTACTCAAGTTACTTGTTTGAATTCGTCCTCAGCTTGTATCTTTTTTAAAACTTAATCAGATGTGACTATAAAGAACACAAGTGAACACTCAAAAGTAGGCTTGTACGATAGGAGATGAACCTTATCTATTCTGTATGGGCTGTGATACTGCTTGACTTCAGAATCCACGTTATACAATCTACTAGTTGAAATTCATGTGGATAATACAATAAACTACAACCTTATAAGTTTGTGTTCTAGGTGTTAATACCACTTAATTCTGATATTCGGAATTATCTTAGTTTATGTATCTAATCATAGTGATAAAGTCCTTTGAAAGTCAGTCAAGACTAGTTGATAATATGTCATTATTAGAGTGAATTTATTCGGCACGATATCGTTAAAAAAATGTATTTCATGCAAACAGTTGAGTTCACTTATTTCCAGTTTAGTGGTTCATTTTTTTATAGACAATAATGAATACCGAACAATATGACGTGGGTATTCTTTCTCACGTTCTGTTTGCAGACAAGCGGAAATAAAAATTATTCACGTTATGTAAAACTTAAGGATAGGAGAACAAATAGAACAATAAAGATATTAAGGGATTAAAATTAAGAAAGATGAAAAGAAACAGGAAGAGTGACAGTTGATCATGATCTTGATAGGAAAACAAAGTTAACGAAAGTAGGTATAGTGTAAGAACAAACTATTTTCGTGCACAAAACAGTGGTTTCAATTTGCATATGCTTATCACTTCCACAAAACTTTGTATGCGATCCTGACCGTTTCTGTACAAAACTTAAAAAGGTGTCTGAACATAAATTTTGTGACTCGTTTCTATATCTCTAACTATACATGAAAAGAGTCGTCTCCTACCTAGACATATCAAAGTTCCATACTCCATCCGTCTTTGTAACCTTTTAGGTATACGTTCTGTCACCTTCAAGTGGATGATTCGATTACTCCTCTCTAAGAATGGGTGGCCACACACACACCTACGTTAAGTGGTAAACACAATGGGATGTAGCTTGAAAATCCCCATTTAGACATTTAGGAAAAACGAGATATTCAGCGAAGAGGACTCTTTTCAACGAATTTATTCTCTGGCTGTACAGTCGTACATATATAAATATATGATATTTAAAGACTAATCTGTGAGGAAGATTCAACTTCAATAATGGGAGGTTAAAATAACAATAATTGTGGTTATAATCATAATAATGTTGCTAGTTGATAATGTAAAGGCTGAATGATAACAAAAAGGATTACATAAGATTCTTAAAGCGTTTATAAGGTCCATATAAATTACAAAGGGGTGAAAATGTGGTAGAGTTAATAAATAATCAAAAGATTAGGTAATACGAATGAGGAACGTTAATTAGGATAAACTGAAAATGTTTTGTTAAAAGTTTCACTTATTAGGAAGATAAGATGAAGTAACAGCAGAAACTATTCAATATAAAAATAAAAGTGATAATGACGATCTAAGAGTACAAAGTTTAACCTGACAAAAAGGGGAAGCTGAAAAAAACCAAAAAAAGAAGCATACCAGGACGAAAATAAGTTAAGGCCGAGGTAGAGACAAAGACTATAGATACTTCTTTTGTACAGAAGGGTCAGGCTTTACTTCATGGATATCCAGGACCTCTGTTGTTTTTAGAAGTTGAACACGGAGGAAACAATGTGTTTAAAGGAGTTCAATAGACAACATTAAAACCATTATTTGGGTCGGTTGAAGGGTTGGAATCGATTAGATGTTCAAGGATAGAACCTTTAATGCATTTCATTTCACCTTATAAAATCAGGTG